GCACATGCGTGGGTGCACATGTATGTGCTAACACCCATGCCTGTGCATGCGCACACATGCATGGATGCACGTGTGGGTGCAAGCATACGTGTGCATGCAGATGCACGCACATGCGTGGGTGCACATGTATGTGCTAACTCACACGCCTGTGCATGCGCACACATGCATGGATGCACGTGTGGGTGCAAGCATACGTGTGCATGCAGATGCACGCACATGCGTGGGTGCACATGTATGTGCTAACGCACACGCCTGTGCATGCACACGCGTGCATGGATGCACATGTGGGTGCAAGTATACGTGTGCATGCAGATGCACGCACATGCGTGGATGCACATGTATGTGCTAACGCACAAGCCTGTGCATGCGCACGCGTGCATGGATGCACATGTGGGTGCAAGCATACACATGTATGGGGATGCACGCACATGCGTGGGTGCACATGTATGTGCTAACACCCACGCCTGTGCATGCACACGCGTGCATGGATGCACATGTGGGTGCAAGCATACGTGTGCATGCAGATGCACGCACATGCGTGGATGCACATGTATGTGCTAACGCACAAGCCTGTGCATGCACACGCGTGCATGGATGCACATGTGGGTGCAAGCACACACATGCATGGGGATGCACGCACATGAGTGCATGCACATGTATGTGCTAACACACATGCCTGTGCATGCACACACGTGCATGAATGCACTTGTGGGTGCAAGCATACGTGTGCATGCAGATGCACACACATGAGTGGATGCACATGTATGTGCTAACACACATGCCTGTGCATGCACGCGTGTGCATGGATGCACTTGTGGGTGCAAGCATACGTGTGCATGCGGATACATGCACATGCGTGGGTGCACATGTATGTGCTAACACCCATGCCTGTGCATGCACGTGTGTGCATGGGTGCACATGCAGGTGCACACACACACCAGCAGCCTCCCCAAGAGGGGGGACACAGGACCCCCCAGCTTCTGGATCCGGACCCCACGGTGTCCCCAGGAGCACAGACACCCTCCCAGGAACCGGTGCTGCTGCCAGGCCGGAGGAGCCGCCTTGTCTTGCATTAAATCCAGCGTCTGGATGCACCCGGCGAGGAGGGGAGCCGGGAGGAGGACGCAGCAGGAGCAGAAAAGCCCCTTTGCGCAGTTCCTAAGAACCGCAGCGTTGAGCAGCGCAGGCTCAAGGCGCCGGCCCCGGGCCTGCGAGTGCTGCATTGCACAAGGGGCGGCTGGCGCCGCGGCACGGAGGACGCCGGGGATGTCCCCATCATCCCGTTGTCATGGGAACCTGCGGGAATCACCCTCCAGGGAGCCTCCGTGCAAAACTGCCGCGACCCGCCCCCTGCCCAGGTCCTGCACAATTCCCTCTGCTCCGGGGAGCGGGATCGGCCGCTGGACACGGGATGGGCTGCGCCCGGAGCGCTGCGCCCAAAGGGCTGCACCCTGGAACGCTGTGGCCGGGGAGGAGGCTGCGCCCAGAACTGCTGCGCGCTGAAATACTGCACCCGGGGGCTGCTCCGTATGCAAAACTGCTGCACAGAGGAGCGCTGCACCCAGGGAACAGGCTGCACCCAAACTGCTGCACCCAAATTGCTGCACCCCAAAATGCTGCACTCCAAAGTCTGTACCCAAGGAGGCTGCACCCAAAGGGCTGCACCCTGGAATGCATCCTTCAGTGATGCCATCCCAATATCCCATCCCTGCAACGATGCCATCCCAATGTCCCATCCTGCATCAACTCTATCCCAACGTCCTGCTCCTGGATCGATGCCATCCCAACGTCCCGTCCCTGCATCAACACCATCCTGAGTCCCATCCTGCAACAACGACATCCCAACGTCCCGTCCCTGCATCGATGACATCCCCAGGTCCCATCCTGTAAGGATGCCAGTCCAGCATCCCATCCTGCATTGATGCCATCCCGACATCCCGTCCCTGCAGACACCCCGTCCCCAGACACCAGGACAGGCTGAGGACCGACCTGCTGGAGAGCAGCTCTGCAGAGGGACCTGGGTGTCCTGGTGGGTGACAAGGTGACCATGAGGCAGCAGGTGCCCTCGTGGCCAAGAAGGCCAATGGGATCCTGGGCTGCATTAAGAAGAGCCTCTCCGGCAGGT